CCTTGTTGCTGATTTGCTTGAAGAATCTCAGACACAGAAACTGCTAGACAGAGAGCCTGGCTCAAGTCTGTGTCATCATCCTTGAGGCCCAGCAAGCTGCTGCCAAAAAGACTGTGGTTGTCCTAATAAGGCAAGAGGAGAAAAAAAAAAAAATCTAACTGAAGCTATTGTCTTTAGATGCAAAGGCTTAAAGTAAAACTATATCCACCATGTCACAAACATTAAGCTCGAAACACACATATCTTGTCCACATAGCCATCAAATTTTTGATCAATAGAAATTCTTTCTGAAAATCATGGCAAGGCCTGAACTTCCATTACAAACACACTTGTTCACCACTCTGACCATGCCAACATGATGAAATACCTCTGTTTTTTGTTTTTAGTTCCCCACTCTGACCATGCCAACATGATAAATACCTCTGGGTTTTGTTTTTTTGTTTTTGTGTGGGTTTTTTGTTGTTGTTTCTGGCCCTCCCCCAAAAAAATCTCACCTGTCTACACACATCAGAGAAAAGTACATAGAAGCCAAAGGCAATGACTATCAATTACTTTTATTTCATTAATTCACTGAAGTCAGTTATCTTGAGTAAGGGAGAACCGCAAGAACAGTGCAGGTGATGACAGCTCTGTCTCTAGTACGTGACTTTTTCCTCTTTGCTGTTGCAAGTACACTAGGATTGCTGTGCAGTCTACTACAACACAATTGCGTCAGTATGGCATTTTTTGCTTCATCAGTTCTTAAAAGAATCTGGTTTGGAAAACAAGGTCATCAGTCATGAAGTGAGAATATTACAAGGAAGCTTCTCTCTAACATGTTTCACTTAACCTTCTCATCTTTCAAAGATCCCAAGACTAAACACTACCAGAGTAACGACATGAAAAATCTGCTAAAAAAAAAAAAATCACAATGAAATATTCCAAGCTACTGTCAGCAGGAGCTTAAACAGTCACCATAAACAAGAGAATTTCAAAATTACTTCATTATTACCTTCCTGAAAGATGCTGGAGTTTTGCTACAGTAGTATTGTGCCAAAGAGAAGAGATCTTCTATATCCTCTAAATCGAGATTGGCTGGTGAAGTTTCTAAGAATTCTGAGATACGCAAACGACATTAGTGCATCATCATTTCAGACACAGAAAATCACCACCGTACATCTTTTCACATCAGAAAATAACTTATTTTTAATAAGACACAACACAGTTGAGTTTATTGATTAAACATAAATGTCAATTCACTCTCCAGGTGGAAAGAGAAGATACAGAAAATACTTATCTATACGAAACCTGTGCTATTTACTAAAAGTTCAAACCTTCTATGCAAATTATTTTTTTACAACACTCTTACCTCTGTATAGTATTACAACTGAAAGCTAAAACTAAGTCAGTTGCCTTTTCTGAAGAGCCTGACCAAGAGAATCCTCTAAAACAGGATACTCAACCAGTAGTACTATTGTATATCCAGGATGGTACAAGGGGGTACTTCTGCAGTATATACTAAAGACGCAAAATTCCAAGCACCCTCATTTTTAAATAGGAGATTATTAATTATATTGTATTATGCCATGTAAAAAAAAAAAGTGAATACAGGTGAAATAGGCTCACAAAAAATTTACTGTAATTTCTATAAAAGCAGAAGAGGGTAAGATAAGAACAATAAATTTGGTTCAAATCAAGTGCACAAAGATAATGATCTGGAAAATGAAACAAGTGCAGTAGACTTAAACAGGATTTGAAAGCTGCTGCTTTGGTCTTAGAAACACAGTTTTTGTTTCAAATACTCCAAACTGAAGTATAAAACTAGGTGTGGGAGTGCTAAAAGGAAACACAATAAAAGAATATTAAGAATGGGGCAAACGTCATGCAGCAAAAGAATAGTAAGAAAGGAATTAGTGAGTGAGGTGAGTCATTGATGAGAAAAATCACAGGGAAATAACAAAACAATTCAGTTATTTAGTAATTCAAAATAACAATCAATGAGGATTATACCAGATGGTAAGTATTTCACTAGCAGCTATGTAAGAGAAGTACTTACTTATCATTTCTTCTTTATCTGATTCTTGTGCTAAGATAACGTCTCTGAAAACAGTAAAGTCACAGGCATAGATTAGGTCAGTAAAGCCAAAATGAAACAAAAGCAGATTAAAACTGTGTCAACAAGGAATGTTCCAAAGAATTAACTACAAACTTACTTTGCATTGACAAGGATGATTAACATTAAGAAATAAATAAAGAATGGATCTGCTTGTTGTAGATATCCATCCCATATTGCCTGAGTGACTTGAGCTGAACAGTAACATGAGAAGAGGCTTCCAAGCTAAAAGTTTGGAAAACAGCGTGAGAAAAAGCAATAACCAGGAACAATCTTATCAGGACAACATTTTGTAATAGAGATACAAGATATCTGAAAGAAAACAAACCCAACAAAATTATATTAAAACATACATTTGCACTATGTATTGAAGCATGGTTCTACCCTCAAAAACAATTTTCATGGAAACAGTGCAGTAATGCTACAGATTCCCTGTGAATAAATAGGCCTAGTGTGAAGGCAAACTCAGCTGTACGTTGTCAGCCTTACAAGCTCCACCAGAGATAACACAATCAGGCTGGAATACTATTTATCTCACAGCCACAGCTAAATACCCATTATACCAACAAGACAATAATAGGA